TTTGTTGTTTGATTAACATTCATAACACAGAAAGCCTCAGGAACATTAAACTGCTGTAAACCAATATAGGCTACTGTTACACACATCTAGGGCTGAAACGATTCCTCGAGTAACTCGAATACAAAAAATCACCAAGGCAAATTATGTGCTTCGGAGAATCGTTTAGTCCAGGGGTGCCCAAACTCGGTCCTGGAGGGCAGGTGTCCTGCAGAGTTTAGCTCCAACTTGCCTCAACACACCTGACTGGAAGTTTCTATGCCTAGTAAGAGCTTGCAAAATGATTACAGCAAAGCAGATCCTCGCGCACATCCAGCCTGAGGACTACTTCATAGCGGTAGACCTGAAGGATGCTTATTTTCATATTCAGATAGCACCTCATCACAGGCACTTTCTGTGATTTTGCATTCGAGGGTGTCGCTTAAAAAAATTAAAAGTATTACCGTTCGGGCTGGCCCTCGCCCCCCGCATGTTTACGATGTGCATGAATGCAGCGCTTTCCCCCCCTGAGGCTCGGTGGCATGCGCGTGCTGAACTACCTGGACGATTAGCTCATCATCGCCCAGTCGAGAAGTGTGCTCGAAGACCACAAGCACAAGCTCCTTTCACATTTAGTGCACATAGGTCTGTCTGTGAACATGCAGAAGAGCGCGCTTCAGCCCAGCCAGTCGATTACATTTTTGGGAATGATTTTAGACTCGCGCAAGTAGGCTATAAGTCAAGTATATTTCTGAGAAGTACATAAAGCCCATTTCTGAGAAGTACATAAAAAGTAGACTAAAAGTATTGTAGCAAGTCTGAAAAAGTGTGTTATGTTGTCAGGTGTGATTTAAGTCAAATATGTTCCGTTCCTGTGTTTTGTGTTCTTTTTGCATGTGGGCTTTAAGGGGTGGGTGTTCTTCTGAAGAACGAGTCTGCGCACTCGTGTGTGGGTGGAGTCTGGGGGGAAAGGTTCTGGAAGTTTGTGAGTTCAGAGAGAGAGAGTTGAGGGTATAAGAGCTTGATTAGCTGGTTCAGGTGTGTTTAATTAGGGTTGGTGCTAAACTCTGCAGGACACCGGCCCTCCAGGACCGAGTTTGGGCCCCCCTGCTTTAGTCCTTTTACTAGGGATGCACTAAATTTTCTGCCGCCGAAATATGCCGCGCCGCCCAGCAGTGTTCAGGTTTCAGAATCAGAATGAGTATTTATTGCCAGGTATGTTTACACATACGAGGAATTTGTTTTCATGACAGAAGCTCCACAGTGTGTTACTAGCGCCCCCTACAGTATAACAATGAAAACACCCGGATTCTAGGAACACAAGTATAGCTCAAATTTAGACTTTTTCCAAGTAGGCTATAAGTCAAGTATATTTCTGAGAAGTACATAAAAAGTAGACTAAAAGTATTGTAGCAAGTCTGAAAAAGTGTGTTATGTTGTCAGGTGTGATTTAAGTCAAATATGTTCCTGTGTTTTGTGTTCTTTTTGCATGTGGGCTTTAAGGGGTGGGTGTTCTTCTGAAGAACGAGTCTGCGCACTCGTGTGTGGGTGGAGTCTGGGGGGAAAGGTTCTGGAAGTTTGTGAGTTCAGAGAGAGAGAGAGTTGAGGGTATAAGAGCTTGATTAGCTGGTTCAGGTGTGTTTAATTAGGGTTGGAGCTAAACTCTGCAGGACACCGGCCCTCCAGGACCGAGTTTGGGCACCCCTGCTTTAGTCCTTTTACTAGGGATGCACTGAATTTTCTGCCGCCGAAATATGCCGCGCCGCCCAGCAGTGTTCAGGTTTCACTCTCCTCCAGCCGTCATTGCGCCGTGTGACGCTCCGTTCATTATTCCACTCTATCAATGTGCATTACCGCTCATGCTCAACGCTCAAATAGCGCAGACAAGAAATCTCTATGTAGTATACTTGTTCCTGTTTGCAGTACTGGGCAACGCTGGTAAAACCTCGTTCACTGATCTGCTCCCCGCTATGCTCTGCTCACATGAGCTGATATAGCTTTGCCAGGATTTTTATATTTTTATACATGTTTGTTATTTCTTTACACAAAATCATAATTTCTATTAATTTCCCACTGATTTACGCGATCTGATGAGCATTAACTCATATTACGCGATCATATCTCTATGAATGAATGAATGAATGAATGGCAGAGACGCGCGTTTTCCTTTACCACACACACACTGAAGCGCGCGTAACGCTCGCGGTGACTTCAGCGTCTGCCGTCTCAATGAGGACATAAACACACAAACAACTCCAGAACTGCTCTGAGAGTCACTTCATGAGCGTTTCACCGTTTCATTTGAGTAAAACTAGCATCATATCATATAAAGGTCCCGTCAAAACTGAAATTTCCTGGCTTTTTTCACGATAACTGAGGTCTAGGGGCTATGTAACTACCATATACGTTTCAAAACAGTCAGTCCACAGTAAAACGCACACAGCCTGCATAAAGTAGCTGTGATTTTTCACAAACCCATTTTTCGTGACCCTACAGTCACGCCTTCAGTCACCACCCCGAGCACCGCCCACCGTGTGACCTTTAAAAGGTATTCACGGCAACCCGTAAAAATAAAAGTCTGGTTTAATTTGAAGACATTGAAGCAGAAATATATTACTATTGTTCAGCAGAATTTACATACTACTAAAATTATGAAAACTTTATTTTTTAAGGAATGATCACACATTTCCATGTTTTAATTTTAATAGAAAATCCCCTTTGTTTGCCAAAAAGTTTAATTTTCAACAATTTAAAGATAAATTATATTAATGTTTTATGCCTTCATTTGATAACCAGATACACAACACAGCATTTCTGAGTAAAAAGAAAACATTTCATAAAGCGATTTTAAGAATAAATAACAATAAAACATATATATATATATATATATATATATATATATATATATACATACATTTCCTGTGGACCCCAAAGCCCACCAGACAGTCACCCTCACAGCCAGGTAACGTTCCCTCTCTCTGCCTGTGCACTTTGATGGCTTCTGCGACCTTCTCGAATGTCCAGGCATACTTGAGAAAGGCCTCTTTGTTATGAGGGCACCTCTGTCCAATCTGCCAGCCCCGCGCTCCCGCTGATGCCCAGACAGGACAATGAGGGAGTAACCAAGGTCATTCTCCAGCATCCACTTGAAGGTTTTCCCTCTGTATTGACCAAACTGGATGGCACTTTGACTTGCCAGCAGCATGGATCCCCTCCACCATGGATAAACCCTGACCTTGGCCTTCCCCAGCACAGCCTCATGGTCCTTTGGTACCCCTTCAGCCACTTGTGAAAGGTGGATTTTCTCCACAGTGGCTGCCTGCTTAGACGACCTCAGCACCAGCTCTACAGCCACAAAACGAAAGTTGGGCTTGCTTTCCATTCTGCAACAGTAAAGAAATGCTCCTGATGTTATGACAAACAATGCACTCAAAACCCCATACACAAAAGAAATATTTATGGTGTAATGACTTTGATTACTTAATTTTAGGGAATTAATTATTATTAATTCATTCAGGGTTTGAAAGGACTCGAATCTGAAAATTCGAGGTCCACCTGATTAAAACTGATTTTAAATTTGTTATTTTACACCTTATCAGCTACTCGTCCTGCGAGAC